AGGTGAAGGGACAGAGGTCACCTCAGGGCTGGAGACACCGGTGTCGCTGGTAGAGGGAGCCAACGAGGGGACGGAGGTCACCTCAGGGCTTGTGTTACTAGCATCACTGGCAGAGGGTTCCTGTGAGGGGACGGAGGTCACATCAGGGCTGGAGTGACTGGCCTCGCTGGTGGAAGTTGCGTGCGAGGGCCCTGAGTTAACCTCAGGGCTGGAGACTGTGGCACCGTTGGTGGAGGTTGCGAGCGACGGGACGGAGGTCATCTCAGGGCTGGTGTTGCTGGTGGAAGGTGCGAGGGAGCGCACTGAGGTTACCACAGGGCTGGAGACAACAGCAACGCTGGTGGAGGCTGACAGCGAAGGCTCGGAGGTCACCTCAGGACTTGAGACAATGGCGTCACTGGTGGACGGTGACTGTGAGGGGATGGTGGTCACCTTAGGGCTGGAGTTACTAGCATCACTGGTGGAGGGTGCCACTGAGGGCACAGAGGTCACCTCAGGGCTTGAGTTACTGGTGTCGCTCGTGGAGGGTTCCTCCGAGGGGACTGAGGTCAACTCAGGGTTGGAGACACTGACGTTGCTGGAGGAATTTCCGAGCGATGGGACGGAGGTCACCTCAGGGCTGGTGTGACTGGCATCGCTGGTGGAGGTTGCAAGTGAAGGGGCGGAGGTCACCTCAGGAGTGGAGACACTGGCGTCACTGGTGGAGGATTCCTGCGTGGGGATGGGGGTGACGTCAGGGCTGGTGTGACTGGCATTGCCAGTGGATGGTTCCTGCGAGTGGACCAAGGTCACCTCATTGCTGGAGACACTGGCTTCGCTAGTGGAAGTTGAGAGCGAGGACGAGATCTCAGAGGTGGGGTCAAGGGTGGTGTCCATAGAGGGGGAAGACAAATTCGTGTTATCTGTCACATTTTCCCTTTTCTCTTGTTTGTTGGTGGAGTGGGTTTTTCTTGAAGGTGATCTGTGCTCTAGAGAACATTAGTTTTTCAGTGATTCTATTGTATACCTTACTACAATCAATTTGTCTTTATTTTTTGAAGTCCTCCTTTTATACACTCACATGTATTGCTTTTCTTTATTCTTTTGCATATTGACCTGTGAATCTCTTTTCATTCTCAAAAATTATAACTTCTTCATTAGAATCTGCATTTCTTTCCCACCCACTGGAAGCTGAATGCCTTGAGATTATTTTTAAGCACCTCAATCTTTTCATTGCTTATTTACTGAGTTTACCTCATTTTTTAAGCAGTTGCCCCCTCCCCAGTACCTCCAGGTTTCAGTGCCACACCTCCATCATTTGTCTTCCCTGGACTCTGACACTCGGGTTCCTGGAGGTTCTTCTTGGACACACATCCTCCTGTATCCCAAACTGCCTGGTCCTTAGCGAGGTCTGTGAGAGAAAGGCATGTTAACCTCCGCGACTTCACTCTCCTTCCCACTCTGGGCTCGTCCTCCCTCTGCTGGGTATTGCCCTGGCACCTCCACCACCTTGATCACTTACAGCCAGGTCATAGGCATGGAGGTGAAGCAAGAAGTTGGGGGTGAGGGCAGTGTCACCATGAGGTGGCATGTCTTTCAGCAGGTCAAGGCGATGTCACACTGAATAGGGACTGGACAGGGAGCCCCTGCCCAGCTCATGAGTCAAATTCAGAGAATCCTGTAGCACTCTGTGCCCAGTCCTTTCTGAAGGAATATGACCACTGTAAGTGCTGGCCAGAGGATGCTGCCGGGGGCCAGCCCCTAATCTCAGAGTCCTGATTTTTCGCCATGTGGAGGCGCACTAAGGGTAAGAAAACAGCCTCAGGAGCAATAAACCTAGATCCCATGAGGAAAAGCTACTTGTCAGCCAGAAACATCTGCTGACTTGGGTTGCTGACTTGCACCAGAAACATCCTTCGTGCCTAAACCACTATATATTTTGTGCACATTTGCCACAGTGGATGCAAATATATAACTGATGCAGTGAACAGCTTCATTTATTTTTAACCCCGGAAATGGGTAAAATTGCTCTAGTCCTCAAGACATTTAAGTACCTAATGTTAACATTTTTGTATTAAATGATTTCTTCACATTCGGAATGAGCTGTTCATACTTCTCCCCAAACTTTAACCTATTCAAAGAACATGCCAACCTTGTAGAATCTTTAAACAGAATGAGGGGTTCCCTGACACCCCCAAAACCTGCCTGCTCTAAACAGGTTCTAAACCCATTGCATAAAAACAAAACATTCTCTTGGTGCATAAGAACTTCAATAGAAGAGAACTTTAAAACAATTAGTACATTAGAGAAAATATATAGTTAAAATGGTTTCCAGTTAAACACCCCAAGTTACCCATCCTTTTGTGAGTAAACGTCCAGATAAACAGGGTTGACCCAAAGTGGGGCCACTGAGGCCGAAAGCTGCCACAGTCTAAGGCACCTTCTGTTGGGGAACAACAGGAAAGGGGCAGAATGAAAGGAAAAGAACAAAATCAGAGCACAAGTCAAGATAAAGGCCACCATTGTCAGCCTCCCTGTGAGTCCTTACCCGTGTGTCTCTCATTCAAGTGTGTCCTTCCATGTCCCCCAGTCCAAGTGTAACAGGTACAGGTTTCATGGATGCCACCCCCACTCCAGATACTGGAACTACTAATCCCATCAATACCAAGGAGAGGCATGCTGGGACGTGAGGGCGGAGCTGAGCAGCCAGGTTGGGATAAAACCAGACATGTGGGCTCTTGGGGACTCTTGGCCTGGTGGTTTGGGGCTGGTCGTTTGACTCTCGATAGATTTTCAGCATGCTGTGGAGTCCAAGTCAGCAGAACTGGTGGGACATTCTAGTTTAACTTGTATTTCTCTCCCTCTTTCCCTTTACCTTTCTCCTTGTAAATAAATCCATTATTGAACCTTTTTGTGTGTGTCCATAATACGATTGAATCTTAAGTGCATGGGTGAGGACCCTCAGGCAGGCAACCCAATTCACATTGGGGTGCCCTGTAACACTCCCAGCTCAACTCTACCTTTCCTTGGGTGGGCCAGGAAACCTGGAATCTCCCCTTTCTATAGCATGCTGTTACAATTCCATTTAAGTTATATAATTTTGTGATTGATTTAGGCTTATCATTTTTTATTAAAACCTGGCCAGGGTTGTGAACAGGATTACATTAAAAGAAGTTAAGCTTCACTATATACACACACCTTTACTTTAACAATTTATAGTGTTACTCAAGTTCAAGGGAAGTTCTGAAAAATATGCATTCAGTGCATTCAATTTTAAAAATTTCCTGAGTGGTTGGAAAGGTTTTATTTATTAATCAAATAATTGTAGTCTATAAATAAGAAATGTATTAATTGTATAAACGCAGCTTAGAATGCTCAAAGGACTTTAAATCACCACGTGTGTAATAACTATAGGAACTGTACTTTTGCTTCTGGCGAAGGTGGGGTGCAGGGATGGAGCTTACAGTCCTATTCAAGATGACCCCAACCCCAAATAACCCTTTAACTATGTGAAAGATATGGAGCGATGACTTCAATACACTGGCTATCAGGCAATGAGTTGAGCCTGGAGTTAGCCTAGCACGCTTAGACTGAGGTAGGCAGATGGAGCCAGGTGGAGACAGCAGATCTTCTGGGTTGAGGAGATGCTGACATGAATCTTGGGAGACCCAGACAGCTGGAGCTCACAGGATACAGATTCTGGAGAGCAGAGCACTACACAGAGAGACGTTCAAAGGGTCCTCTTTTGAGTACCAAGTGGTGTTACAAGGTGTCTGAGAGTTCTTGCCTTGTGCCTCGGAAACTGAGAACACAGACCACGAGGAGGTTTAGAAGTTTATTCAGTGACTGTGAGGCACAGGGCAAGGGCAGAGCTCTTAGGGTCTGAATAAATAGAAAATGCCTCAGAAGAGTTAAGGGAAGCTCCAGAGATAAGGGCAACAAATTTCAAAGGGGACTAATCAAACACTTCAACGGCAACGTGGATAATAAAGATAAAGACTCTAAGATAAGGGTCAGGAAAACCCCAGTCATTCTGTGCACTGAAAATTAATCAGTCACAAAGAGGCTGGTGGAGCTTTAGAATACTTAGGGGGAAAAAAATAATAATAATAGGGAAAAGAGGGCCCTTCCTGGTGGCGCAATGGGGTAAGGCACCTCATTATGAAGCTCTGAAGCCACTGCAGCATGAGTTCGATCTCTGGCCAGGGAGCTGACCCACATGGTGTGGAGACCTCTCCTGACCCGCCTGCTGCTCCCCTCAGCAGTGTATTTCAGTCAGTCTGCCTGTTTTGCTGCCCACTCTGTCTCTCTTGAATCTTCTCACCCACCACACTTCTGGCCTGTACCCCAGTTCTGTAAGCAAAATAGGGAAAAGAAAGGAGAATAGTTATATTCTCTGAGGCAGGACTCCACTTCGGCTCCATGCCCCTCCCCAGCCTGGTTCCACCAGCCTGGGATTCCCACTTATTTCTGTTCCTTTTCCCCCTCAGTAAACTGTTTCTTTCTCTAAACCATTTGCCTCCTGGCCTGAGCATCTGTGAAGTTCCTGCTGCGGCTTTGTGAGACACCAGCCAGGACTCAGCACTATCGCTGCAGCCTGGGCCCAGCTGAGGCCTGTTCCTCCCTGAGAGACCGGGCCTGAAAACCTGACATTTCGGTATCAATAGGAAAGCAGAAAAAGCTCCCTGTGGTGACAGGAAGTGGGCACCCAAAACAGGTACCCCCAAAATGCTTTCGTGCTTTTGTGTCTTTTATAGCAAATCTAGCTCACTGAGGGGCCTCTATCTGTTGAATGCCAGCACGGGGAGATAGCTTGTAAAGGTGAACACAGTGGGGAGCTGACTAGAAGCACAGCTCAAAACAGGGCCATCCCGCACTCCTGCTCTCTCCTTACAGAGCATTTTGTGCTCACAGGCACAGGGCCTGTTGTATTCCCTTCTTCTGTACTTTACACTCTCCGTGAGGCCTCTGTCCCCTGCCAAACCAGAATCTGCTTCAATATGATCAGGGCATGCTTATTAGGGAGAGACCCAGGATGAGATTAGAAGCAGCAGGACCTGGCTTTTGCTCAGGATGGAACAGCACTGCTTCTCCAAGCTTAACTGGATAACGTCCTAATTCATAGTGTTACAGGGCAGGATGAGGCACCACTGAGCCCCCAAACCTGCCCTCTCTAACTGGGTTCTACCATCTGCCACATCAAGCCAAATATACTCTAGGGCGTAAGACAGTTAATGGAAGTTTAGCACAATTAGTATGCAACAAAGAGAAGATAAAGAATCCAGTTCCAAGTCAAACATGAAAGCTACCCGTCCCCTGTGGGTAAATATCCAGCTGCCATTGTTAGCCTCCTCACAGGCCTCACCCACACCCGTTTCAACCAGTCCAAGACCAACCAGCAAATGCAGCTTTGTTACGTGACTCTCGCTCCATGTGCCTCCTCCGTCTGGCTCTTCCTCTTCTTTCCTTCCTTGTCCTAGTCTCTTCTCCAGCTTTCCTCCTCCCTACTTAGCTCTGCTCTTTCTTGGGTGGGGCAGGGAACCCCCTTCTTCTGGGGACCACCCTATTACAATCAAGTATTGGGCAGAGTGCTCAGGAAGCTCTTGCTTTCATAATGGGACAGGCCTCCTTAGACTGACACTTACCAGGAGTCATTTAAATTATTAAAAATAAAGAGGAAGGGAAAAGGTGTTTGATATAATTGAAGCCAATAGTCAGTTCACTAGTCAGTTAAAGGAGGGACATTATTCTGAATTATAAGGGTGGGCCCAATGTTATCACATCAACCCTTACAAGCAGGGGGCAGGTGCAGAGGGAAGTCAGAAATTCAAAGCATGAGCAGGTATCATTGCTGACTTCACAGCTGAAGGGGCCTCCAGGCAAGATGAAGCCACCCA